TCATTTGAGATGTAATTAACTATAGGGGCTTGCCCTTATAGGGAGCTTTTCCGAACCCAGCTTAAAATAAACGCTATTTAATTATTTGTATTAAATTGGGGAACTTGTCGGCAAATAAAACGGTTTCGCAGACCCAAACGGATGTCATATCTTTCTTAGTTTATTTGATCGAGCCTCACCCTCAAGTCTTGTGTTTATCCCTTGGGGTAGATACAGGATTTGAGGTTGAGTGCTCTTTCATTTAAACTATGGAAAATATGAGGTCAGTTTGATTTCATATTTTTCTAAAATTATATATATATACGTAAATTAAAAAGTCCTTCCGAAGCGGGCGACGGGATTTCGATTCCGGCGACCGACAGCTTCTTACCGTCGACCCCCAAACTTTTAAAAAACTCTCTTTTCCCCCTTTTAAGCGCCGACAGACCCCAAGTTGACAGAACATTGAAATAGTTGAAGCTCATGCATTTAAAGTGATACTACTATGAAATTACATTGTTATGATTACATATGATAAACCACTTATGAGAATGTTTATGATTATAGTTATAATTTCATGCTTATGACATACATGTTTATACATCAATCTTGATTTCTACAATATCTACTCTCTTTTTTCCAACCAATTTAGTCTCTTGTATGCATAAGATATTTATCGTCCTACGAAATATAATATTCACTAATTTCATTAATTTACATATAAAAGTACTTATATTTCAAGATCTTATCATAATATTAATTTAATGGACTAGCTTATTTGCCTGCATCCGTCCATAATATAAGAACTTCTACTTATTTAACACTCCACCTGATGCGTCAAAATCCATATTAATAAGATGGCACTTCTAGTCATGTGACCTCAAATAATATACCAACTGATATAAAAAGTGAAAACATTCACCTATGTCTACTACAGTGGCAGTGGTCCAATCTTCAACAGATACCAACTAAAGCTTTTATGTGATGCTTAGAATTCCCAAATAAAAAAGAAATTTCCAAAGTATGCTCCAAATATATATATATATATATATATTTAATTTCTTACTTAAATAAATTATAAACCTATAAAGTTTTATAATTTTAAAAAATATATATATATATATATATATATATTTTATTATATTCTTTCAGCTAAATTTTTTCCATCCTCAACTCTCAAAATTTCAGACCATCCTCGTCATCTTCCTATCATAAATGATATTCCCTCACTTGTTGCTAAAGAACAGAAAAAAATAAAAAAAAATAAAAATAAAAAAAAGAACCTAGAGGACTTTTCTTCAATGTTAAGAAAAGCGATAAGAGGTGCTCGAAAGAGCTACGAATGGTCAACATAGAAGCAACCTAGTGAGGGTTGCAAATCAAGCAGTGGCAAATGAGAAAGGAGAAGCATGACCGAAAAAATAACAGCTCTGCAAATAACAAGACTTTAAAAAATTTCTATATGAGTTAAACCTCTGATCCTGTTTGGGGCATTTTGCTCACAAAATAAGCTCACTGTCCAGTGCCATCGCATTGGACAACAAAGGACAAGATTTGATCGTTCTAAGCTAATTGTATTAGTCAATTCAGCCAACTTAATAAAAATCTTTAATTAAAAGAAAAGGACCCAGATTTATAGTTACAATCTTGAATACAATGGACCTATAATGGTTAACAATAAAGCTCAGGGATTATCTTATTTGGCTAATTCAATAAAAGAAAATTTACATACATACCACAGAATTTTATATATTTACATATCTAACACCTAAACTTTCATATTCACATTTATAACTCATTGGTATTAAAAACCTATGCATGAAAATTTGAATTTCACTTTTAAAAAGTTAGTGATAGTGATAGTGATATTTTTTTATGTGATGTCAAAGATTTGAGTGTTTTGTATGTAATTATGAAAGTTTAGGTGTTAGATATGTAGATAAACAAGAAATGTTTTGTATGTATGTAAATGCGCCTTCAATAAACCATGTGGCTTACATGCAACTAAACAGTATCTTACAAATTTCTTTAATTTCCAGCAAATAAATTATATTAACCAGAGTAGGCATTGTTACAAGTTTCAAAAGCACATTTTTTTCCAAGGGTATCAAGCTTTGTGTAGGCTGTTTCAATCTCTTATAGCATCATTTCCTTCTCATTCATGCAAAGACAAGTTGTCAAATGATTTCAATCATGCACATATCAAACAAGTAATATATATATATATATATATATATAATATATATTAAAAGGAATGGCCACAGGCTATTATACAAGCCTCGAAGGCTCCAACCACTCCTAACGTGCCTAACAATTCGAGTACCACCATCTTAAGGCCAATTGTGCCAGAGGGGATTCGAACCCTCGACCTGAGGGGTCTTATACCGTGGATGCAACCTACAAGCCGGGGTATACGGCACATATGCAATGATGCAATAGGAAAATTGGAATTCAAACTAGACTACAAAGAAATTCTGACCAAGCAAAATATTGAAATGAAACCTTGGTGTGCTGCAGTTAGAAAACAAACATAGCCTCTAACAGCAAGAAGCAAAACACAAAAGCATTGAGCTTTATTAGTTGAAGGAATTCAACCTTATCAACAATAACACAAACTTCTGCAAATAAATATTCTGGTATAGAATGCATTTGCAGCACTGCCTGAAGAACCTGTTAAGAAAAATAGTAATGAAACTAAGAAATAGATTTAGATGCATGCGGCTACTAAAGAGAGAGAATAAGCAGTAACATAACAGCAAAGCATTTATATTCAGCATCAAGTTAATTTCCATTAACTTATATGTAAAAACAGAGGAGAAAATTATAAAAACAAGAAAATCTATATATCGGAATTCAAATTTATCGATTAAAAATCCCAATATGTAAAAACTTAAACCGCTTTAGGAATTTTAAAATTTCATGCAACCACAATTGTCAGAATATCCTGAGCTATAAAACCCCTACAACAAGTTTACATTCCCATAAAAAGATATCAATTCTCTAAGTATCATTTTCCCCAAAAAATATTGGTGACGTAAACAGGCAATTTATTTTGGAATATTAGAGCTCTTCCAAAAGTGAGAAGAAGACATGGCTCAAATAAAAGGGATAAAAGTTTGATGAAAGCCATTGATGTGGATAATCATTAAAAACAAACCTCAAAAAGATAAAAAGAATAAGGCGACGGATAATACTTGATGTATAAAATAAAGAAGTAGCAAAGCCAAAAGCTTGAAGATGAATAAAACCACTGATGCAGGTGACCATGAGAAAAATCGAGAGAATTAAAGATGGGAAGATGAAAAAAATAACAAGATAGAAAAGATTAAGTAGCAAATATAAGCTTTATGGCATATGAATGCTCAAGAATAAAATATCCAAAATAGATGATCAAAAGGATCGCTATAACCAAAAAAATATGAATTTCATACATGCGAACAATCATCTAAAATATTTCAAAAAAAAATTATCAGTAGATGAAAGATATGAGAAACTACCAACAAAATTAATAGCATGAGCTAGAATAAACCTAACAAAAACAAACTTTTTTTTGGAAGATTTACATGCATACCACTCTATCCGTAAGTATTTACAAGTCAAAGACCTATACTTCAATTTATGCATACATACCACTTTTCTAATCATGAAAATATGTATCTCTTTTTAGAAGTTAAAAAAGTGGTAATTTTTATGTAATATGAAAGATTTGGATGGGTATAAATGTAAATAGTGAAGTATAGGTGTTAGATATGTAAATACATAGGAAATGCTGCATCAATTCCCCAATCCACAAAACATCCTATTCCGAACAGTGGAAGTAACATCAAATCCAGAAGGCTCAACTCTGTAAAATATAACTTCTAAGTGAGGGTCATCTAATGGCATGTACTACTTCCAACAAGCAAGAGGACAACATTGTCTGGATGCAACAATCATACATGGAATTAAGGTTAACTTCGGCAAAAAAAAAATAGGAAATTTACATGCTGAGCTCACAATTCTTATTCATTTACATATCACACACCTAACTTTCATATTTACATATATAGCACTTTAGTCCTTTAAACCCATGCATGAAAAAGGTGTATTTCACTCTTAAAAGCTGGAAATAGTGGTATTTTTGATGTGATATTAAAGATTTGAGTGCTATGAGTGTAAATATAAAATTTAAGGTATGAAATATGTAAACACATAAGAACTGTGTGCTATGTATGTTAGCGCCCCAATAGAAAAGAAACCTTATATGGAAAGAGAAATGCTTAAGTTCAATTGTGAAAGAATTTAATAAGTGTGCATAATGTCTATTCATCAATTATTAGCACGGAAACAACTTTTTGTTGGGCTCAATGAATAAGTACACACAAACCTTTCTGCTAGAAATTCTGATCCCAACATCAGAGGATGTGATCCCAAGACGTCCAAACAGAAGAACAATAGCATGAATAAGTTCAGCTTCAGCCTGTATCAATAGTTAATAAATCCAAGTCTCCACAACAACAAAAACACCCAAAAACACGCATAAAATGCATCAAATAGCATTCTTCAGATCAACCTATACTATTAAGGTATATCAAAAGATTAGATATTGATCGCAGTAACAGCATATTAAGTGAGATTCGAAACTCCAATATTATAACAACGTAAAATAGTTAGCAGGAAAAAACAAAGCAAAGGATGTTCGCCACATGTCTCAACCTTCCACGTCACAGAATGCATATGAGAAATTCTGTAAAGAAATTCCCCGGGCAACTCACTTTTAAAGCAATATGTGACCACCTCTTTCAAAGAGATTTTTGCATTTTATAAGAAGAAAAAATACCAAAGATTTAGATTCATCACCGCATACAATAAAATGTTGAGGAATGAATATGTACCTTCTTTGCATAGACTTCTTATGTGAAGGCATAATTAAAGGAATAAGATAATCCATGTTGTTAGATTTCCTACATCCATAACCAGCCTCCTTAAAATCTGATAGAGTTATTCTTCTGCAAGCACAAACTTCAATGCAGAAAGAAAACCAAAAAATGCTTTTCAAGGTATTGCACAATATTTATTCAAGGAGTTCACCATTGGAAGTTTTGATCCTAATTGAAGTAAATGCTCAAAAAAAATCCCATCTATTCATTAAAGATTTGGGCTCATATAAAACCTTATAACTTTCTTTACAAATAAATCCCTAGACTTCTTCTATATTTCCTATTTACAAATATGACACTAAACTATATACAATTCTCAAAACTCCCCCTCAAGATAGGTAAGCGATATCCACTAAACCCATCTTGTCACACAACCTAGAGGTCTGCTTACACCCGACTGTTTTTGTTCCCGCTGGTAGCAGCGTGAGCTCCCACTTCTTGTTATTAGCAAGAGCACTAAATTTCTCCAGCATGACAGTCTTCCACTTTGGATCCTTTTTAGCTAACTGCCAACACTTGGGTATAGAGACAGTGTCCGAAGATGCAATGAATACTCCGTGTAAAGGTGATATGTTATAATATGAGATAAATTGAGCCATATCATGTGAGAAACAAAAAACGATCAATAGGATAGCCCGCATTGCTACAAGTGGTCCTCATTAAAGTTATGGGTGTGGGAGGAGAATGGAGATGAATCATATCACCTATGTAATCGAATTCTAAGTTGAATGGTGTAGGTGTCTCAAGAGTCGGAGTAGACTGAGACAAATAACTTGTTAGCACAAGTGGCACGACAGACACTGTTCCCCCATTTTGTCTCCTTGTATACACCCTCAGTTCCCCTTGAGCTTGAATCCCACCACCTTCGAGCTCATTTTCCTCCTTTTCCATCTTTTCTCAGTCAATCTTTCTCACAAAATGAGACAAGACATTGTTCTCACATATATCAATCTCTCATCATTACTACTCTCCCCCTCGCTTTATACCTCCAGCATCTAACGAGTCACCAAAGGGTAAGGTCACCTCCACGATGCAGTATGGTTCGAATTCTCTAAAAGTTACATCCACAATCACAAGAAGTATCTTTTCTATTAGGCTCCAACAAACATATCTCTTTTGGGTGGCAGAATAAACGACGAAAAACACACTTTACAACTTTGGGATCCAGCTTCCATATCGCTTGTCTATTATCCTTCACAAAATATACACAATCAAATACCTTCAATGAAAGGATCCTGCTATTTTCTACTTTCAACAACTCGTAAAAAATTGTCACTCCAACACCCTTGAAGGCATTCTGTTGATCAATTGAGCGGTTGTCAAAATAGTTTGCTCCTACAAGTGTTTTAGGATATTCAGCGAGATCATTATGCTTCTGGTTACCTCAAGAAGAATGTCTATTCTTCCTCTCAGCTACTCTATTTTGTGTCGGTGTGTATGGACATATGGTTTGATGTTGTATCCTTGGGCTAATAGGTACTCCCAAACATCTTATTGGTATACTTTGTTTCATTATCAGACCTCAATACATTCATTACTGCACCGTATTAAGTATGAATAACCCTATGAAAGTCTTTAAAACAGGCAAACACATTGCTTCTGTTTCTCATCAGATATAACTAACACAAGAAAAACAGTTATGAAAATCACAAAATATATATAACTATTCATTGAAGTTGTAGAACAAGATACTCATACATTTGAATACACCAAATCCAAAAATACCAAAACTCATATTACCAAAACTAACAAAAGAGCTCCAGATATGCTTACCAAACTCATAAGCATTACACAAGTTTTTGTTTTTTTTTTCATATAAAGACAAATACAAATGAATCAATAGAGTAAACGTAGAGTGTCCCACACGCTTGTGATGTAGCAACAGCACATCCTCTAGAATTCTCCCAGATCCTCCTATTTTAGCACTCTACCATGGATATCAAGGTTGAGTCCATCCCCTCTATCCAAACACAAGAGTTCATTATGACACGTGTCAGTCCCAAGTCTCCAGCCAGTCTCCTTCTCTTAAAAGATCACATTAGGAATATCAAATGAAACAACACATTTTAGTTGGAGTATAATGATAGTAATGGATAATATGTTTACTGGAAAGAAAGAAACATGCAAAACATCAGACGTAATCATATAATTGGTACACCTCATTGTTCCCTTATCAACTATGTTGTGTTACACAATCAGCGGTCTGAATGCTCTCTGGTACTGTCAAGTGAGTATAGGAAGAGAGCTCACTAACGACATCTGTGACATGTCGAGATGCACTAAAATCTACTATCCATCTTGATGATCTTGTGATGGATATAGAGGCAAGAGCATGAGTATCACAAGTACATTTAGCTGAGTGAGCATAAGTAAAAGTATTCCCCTTGAATGACGATAAGGAGGATGTATCCTCATTCACATCACTTGTTGCTCTCCGCTTCCTCTTCAGCATCATCAGAACTTATGATCCTTATCAGTAAAGACCACCCCTGTCTCTCCCCCGTTCTCCGGTACCATTAGATTTACCCGGCAGTCTCCTCTTCCACCCTTTTAGCCCCCACGATTACGACTACGGCCTCTAGATTGTCCATGTCCACATGTCTCTCTCTCCTTAGGTGGTTTTGGACAAGCCTCGCCCAGGAGTTTTACTTCTCCACAGTTGTAGCACCTGCAAGTCTCCCCCTGGGCATCCATCATACCTAAGCTCAAGGTAGTCAAAACTGATTACATACCTGAAAGTCCACTCGGCTCGTAGTGTAGCCTCATGTGACCCACCTCCTATATCATTACGGAGATTGCCTCATCAAGTGAAGGAATTATTGCCTCAACTAGGAGTATTGATCTCCTCTAATCAAAGGTTAGGTTCAGATGAGCCAGAAATCGTAAAGTCCTCATCTGTGAAAACATCCCTCTTCTTACACCCTGGATAACCACAACTCAACATATGTGAGAAGTGATCAAGATCTTGTCACATCCGCTCTAGCTCTATAGAATACACCTGAATCGATCTATCACCATGCACCACTACCTCTATGTCACGCTGAATCTGGAATACGCTCATGCGGTTCTCAGTCCCAGCATAAGTTCACTTCAGCTTTTTCTAGATGTCCTTCACCTTTTAAATGTCATCCACTGATGAGGCCATCAATGGAACCATCGAGTTGAGTTGTCAGGTGTAAAACAATGCATGTGTGGCCCTCCATTCATCCCCCTCAGCACTATCACTCTTCAGCTTGACCCCGAACAGGTATCCTTCTAGTCTCTTCCCTACTAGAGTAGCCTCGATCCAACGCGACAAACTTAGATATGCGATGGCTCCAATTGCGACTCCTTGTGAATGCTTCGTGATCGCGGCTCGTCTCGTCGTGGCATGAAGTAGGTGAGAGTTTTGGCCTTTTCGTCCTTCCTCTTCCCGCAAGTTGCGTCGATTCTATCAGGGTCGCCCTGCTTCTGAGAGAGGAATTTCCAGATCGAGCAGGAGGCGGTAGGGTTAGGGCTCTGACACGAAATTAAAATAACTGCTAAAAAAATCTCATATATTCAATAAATACTTGGGCTTATATAGAGCTTTATAACTTTCTATACAAATAAATCCCTAGACTTCTTCAATATTTCCTATTTAGAAATAGGACCCTAAATGGCCAAACTATACAATTCTCAACAATCCTTCTCTAAGATGTTGTTTCACACTACAGTTGAGCAAAGTGCAATAAGATAAAATGGCATGGTAAAAATGTTCATATGCTGTTCTATAAAGTAGGCAAGACTTTTGTGAAGGTCAGCCATAACTTGTATTTTAAGCCAAATCCAATCTTTTATGATAACATAATACAGTAATGCGTTTTGAGGGTGGGTCTGTATTTAAAACTCAAAAAGCGATGCTTAAATGAATTCAAGTCAAACGCCTCCACTATTATCTTGAGATAATTATGCTTGAAGGCAAGCCCCAAATATGCTTTTTAAAACATTGCTCACTATTGAAAAGTTGTAAAAAATTAATATGCAAGAGTCAATGGCAAGTAATAGTTTCTCAAATCATACCCTAACTTTAGAAAGGCCAATTATATCCATATTCCATTGATAGTGCTCCCTGCGCCTTCCTCTTGTCATACGCTCATACCGCCAGCACTGTCCGATGGTGAACCACTTCAATGGAAGAGAAACAGATTTTCTATAAAGGAAAAAATATGATGCATCAAATTATGCCCAATTGATTTATGGACTTTTCAAACTTGCATAAATTTTAAAAATAGTAAAATAGGTAGGCATATTTCTTCAAAAATTTGAAATTGAAGGAAACTACTTAAAGATGAGGAAAATGATAAACAATTTATTTATTATGCTAAAAATCATTGCAGAAGAAGGACAATAATATGCATACCCTTGCTTGATCACAAGGCGTGCTAGTGAAGGAGTGATCTCAGGCCTTAAAACAACACGACGACCACCTTTATCTTCAAAGTTGTACAACTACCAACAATATAACAATTCATTGATTATGATCTTTGCTCAATGCTGCATTGTAAACATCTCTCTCTAGTCAAAAAAAGAAAAAAAGAGAAACAAAACTATTAATTTTGGGCATTTTATAAAGTGACTTCAATGAGTGATACACTAAAAATTTGTGATGCCACAATATAACCGTGCATGATTAATGAATTAGGATTTTCCCCATGTGAAAAAAAAAAACTGTTAAATCCAATTTTTTAACTATTATTCAAATTCAACGCATTTAGCAGATAGGTCAACAAGTAGCAAATAAATTATTACATCATATAATTTAAGTAGAAAACTACCCCTGCAAATACACACAACGGTATGTTCCACATGGAGGTGGGCATTGAAGAAAATAGCAAGCACATTAAAGCAAGCTGATGATTTCATCATAAATGAGAATTTTAAGATGCATCTACGGAAAAACTAAAGGAACATTAAATGGGAGGAAACTATAATAAATTAAGTTTGAGAATAGCAGCTAACGGGAGTAAAGAAAATGGGTGGAGAATCTCCAGAAAGCCAAACATTGAAAATTGAAGAAAGATTAATAATCATTGGCATGATGAATAACTTTTTTATGCAAACAAAGAGATATTATAAGACATTGGAAATTTTTTCAGAAGGGGAGCATTATGTTGCTCATGAGGTTTACATTTCATAGAATGCAGGAGGGACCAAATTAGATCCTTCTTCCATAACCTTCCTAGTGGAACCTCAGACTCTTAATAACTTCAAACAGTGAATATGATGGAACCGTGAATGATATTTGCACAAATAAAAATTTAGTACGAAAATAAAGATTGGCGGCTCAAAATGAAACATGTCCATGATTAATGCTGCAGTTAATCATATACAAGTTGCAATCAAATTACGATCCAATAATGTTTCCATACATAAGGGTGCCACATTTTCTGAGCAATTCAACATTAGCTATTCCAAAACCAACATATGTTAACACAGATATTAAGTTACACCAAGTATAATATGTACAGATCCTTTACCATTCATTAAAACTATCAGGAATTTTAGTCCTCTTTATACTTATCTGGTCCCAGTTTATCAAATTGGTTTTCTGAAGATTAGCAAATCTAGCAACAGGTATGTCAAGGTTCATGAAAATTTCTAAGTAGCCCTTGCCATAAGCTAAACTTGGACATGCACAGAGAATACTACGTGTACTAAAGCCTGGCCCGCTAAAAATGCAAGAATTCCTGCAAAAGCACGTCCACGCATCCCAAATTGGGCCAAAGTGCTAGGTTTGGGAGATGTATATCCTTTTGGGTGGTCTTAAGTATGTTGAGCCTCCTTAATGAACTATTAAACCAATTTAACTGGGGGAATAATATGTAACAAAGAGACCTTCAATCATTGGCTCCCATACACCCCGATTTAAGTGCAATCTCGTATAATTTGCAATAAAATAATATTATCAATAGTAAATCATTACATATCAGTTGCACAGCTTTCTTTTCTCTAAAAAATGATTTCAACATTTGAATTTAACATTAACCATCATGGATCGTAGCTAACACTATGCAACTACTCCAGAGAGAAATAACTGTAATTTAACCATTGTGTTGCTCACTCAAGTTAACTACTTAACTATCATGGCATATTATCATCAAAATTTAAATTGATGCTTGCTCATCAAACCATGGTATAAACATTCTAACCACAAGAAAACTTAAAGCAAGACTAAAAGTATCTTATATAAACTCAAAGAATAATTAAATTAGAACAAGATTACCTAAATTGAAAATGAATAGATATATAAATATATATAATAGCAAAATAGAAAAGCGGGTTTAATCAACTCACGACCACTTTTCTTCTTATCAACTAACTAAAGACTGTAAGGCACAAAGAACCTGCTGGGAGATCTCCTCCCCGCCTTTTCTGATAAAAAGCGCTTCTGACTCGAGGACCGGAAAGTCCACCTCCTCGAACGACAGCAACCTAGATACCTTACAAGACAAAATTGAAACAAAAAATGAACACTTACACGGGCAAACACACCAGGAAGCGGCATAAACACAAACACCTGAAATGCAATTTTCTCTATTAAAAAGGCACAAACTTTTACCTCTCTGAAGTTGTTGAAGAGCCAGTTCCGCAGCCTCATGTCCTCAGGGGGGAAGTCCCTTGTTCCTCTGGGAGGGTTGACATCTATCAGGGACCTGTCCAACCCCACGGGCACCACAGTATCTTCATTAGTACTAAGCGGTCGGGAATCATCTGAAATGCATCGATGATTTAGAAACTTGCAATGAAAGCAGGTGAGGGTTTAAGAAATGTAGGCAGGATGAGTCCGCAAGAAAAATCTCACCTTGGATTGTGGTGGAGTCCAAGGAGACGGCAATGGGAGATGAGAGCGGACGAAAGAAAAAGCACTGGTGTGCGCGTAGAAGGGGAAGAGAGCGAGGAAGAGTAACGAGGGAGTTTAGGGAAAGGGAGACGCGCGGGATAATGTGCTCTATAGAAGCAGCAATGAACATGGCGCCCGGAGTTAAGAAAGTGTGGTGATCAACGAGACGACGAGATCTTCGACAGAGCAATTTCGCGAGATACTAATTTGATAAATAAAGTTAATACATAAAAACGACCGGACAAAAATCCAACAACAACAAACGATAAAAAGTCTCCCACTAATTGAGATCAGTTACATGAGTCTTCTTCTGTTAAGCGACATATTTTCATTTAATTTGAAGTGAAATAAACGAAAAAATCTCAAGAAGATGGAAAAACACAAGAAATTTTAGGAGGTTCGTCAATGTGCCTACTTGAGAAGAGCGACGATTTCTATTCCAGAAGTAAAATTATGATTCTCATAGGGTTACAAATATTGTATATAAATACAATGTTTAATGAAATTACAAAAATACCCAGGTACTGTACCGCACAGGCGTTACCTTGCACCCCTAACCCACTTAACGAAACTCCCCCATTTAGACAAATGCTTACGCTGCACTCTACTCCGCTCGCTCGCTCGCTCCGCTACAGCATCTGTCACCTATCAGGTATATGAGAAATCTCCACCTTAGCAAATATCATGCCCCTTTAGGAAAAAAAAAACCACGGAGTTTCTCACAAACCAAAATGGGTTGGTCTACCATGTTGTCTAGCAACTGCAAACATTCAACAAGTTCAAGCATTGGAAGAACTTGTCGATAATAACTGGCTTAGTCAACATATCGGTTGTATTTTCATCAGTATTAATATTTTGCAACAAAATATCACCAAATGCAATCAATTCGCTGATCTTGTGATACCTCACATCAATATGCTTAGTTCTAGCATGATATACCTAATTTTTTAGCCAGATAGATGACACTTTGACTGTCATAATTAGGGGTGTCAATTTGGCTTGTTGTTCGTAAACAGCTCGTGTTCTGCTCGTTCGTTAAGCCTAACGAGCAGAACACGAACAAATTTTTAAGCTCAAAATGTAAACGAGCCGAACACGAACAACAGTTTGTTCGCTCGTGTTTGGCTCGAAAAAAAAAATTATATAACTTTTTATATATCAATATATTACATACATTATTTTTATAATAATATATTATATACATTTATGTCTAAGTTTAAATCATAACATCTCATGTGACAATGTGGTTAGTGTCTTCTTTTGTATAGATTTGACCCAAGTTCGAATCCCATATTTTACATCTATTTTTCTTAACTTTAGTGTAACGAGCCAATTTTGAGTCGAATACAAACACGAATATTTAAATCGAGCCGAACACGAACACACTGTTCACGAGTCAATTTCGAACACGAGCTATTTCGAACGAGCCGAACACGAGCCAAGCCTGAGCTCGCTCAAGCTCTGCTCATTTACAACCCTAGTCATAATGCAACTAAACTTCATCTTGCTCGACACCCAGTTCTTTTACTAGCCAAGTAAGTCATAAGGCTTTTTTAGCACCTTCATCTACTATCATAAAGAAAACTTAAAATAAATTTTTGGTGGAGTGCTCACAGGTTTTGCTTCATTCATTCCAAACATGTCACATTTTCTCAACATAGTCCCGTTGAGATAACCACAGTCGTCCTGAGCCTCTATTTTGCTGAATCTCTATTCCAAGAATTTTCTTTGGAACACTAAATCTTTCATATCAAATTTATGACTCAATAAAGCTTTCAAGCTAAGTAAATCTTGCATATTCTTTGCAACAATCAGTATATCATCAACATATAATAGCAAAAAAATAAAAGAACCATCATCAAGGCTCTTAACATGAACACAACAATCATACTCACATCACTTGTAGCCAATTTGAATCATGAAGGAGTCGAACCTTTTGTACCATTGTCTTGGAGATTGTTTTATCTCATATAACGATTTATTTAAACTGAAAAATTAAATGATTCTACATAACAGGTTTCACTCAGCCACTTGCCGGGTCATCTCCGTTGGAATAGGCTTTTCAGATTTAGATTGACTTTTACTATTTTTCAATTTCGTATATGTTATTGTATTTTTCTCTCTAGGTTGAGCAATTGTTTCATTTCTCTTTCAGTAGTATTCTTTTTTATGTAATGAATTTTTTAATTCTTATCAATCTAACATATATTTTTTTTTCTTTTAAGAATACAAAATAGGTTAAACTCTTTTTAGTGTACCCCGTGTTGTCGAGGTGTACCGTCTTCCGGACCCTGGTGTGACACCACTAAGAGGCGAAAGCTCCAGGGCTCTACTCCGGAGTGACAACTCTAGGGCTCTACTCCAGAGCGAGCAATTCTTGAACTCATCCTCAAAACAGACAAACAAATAAAGAACTCAGGCGAACAATTTTCTTCTTTGATGGCCGACCATTTCCTCCGGCCAGCCACCAAAATCCGACGACTCCCTCGATAAAAAAAGCTCAAGAATGACAAATCCAGCAGATAATAATAAAAAAAACCAGAATCGAGCGTGAAAAAACATAATAGGGAGTATCATTAAGAAATTATGTGTTCAGGATTTATTTTATGTATAACTTTCCTTTTCGTTATTTCAGCTGCAACTATCAAGAAGCAAGAAAATATGGGAACTTAATATGTATACTAAAAAATTATCTTTATAGATCTAAAGGCAATCTGATGGTCCAAGATCAAGGGACTAGAATGTCATTTGTTATTCTCTTTAAAGCAAGACTAAACATGTAATTTTTTTTTTTTTAATTCTCCTATCCTCTTTAAATAAAAGAGTCATATGTTGTATGGAGGATTTTTGGGCTCCCCTCACTTGTAATGAATGACTTTATGGAATAAGATGAGTAGGAGAGCTCTGGGGACACCTTATTTCACCCCGATGAGAGAAGTCTCCCTCTTCATTCATTCTTTCTTTCTCTCTTTATCTTTCTCTTCATCTTCTTTCTTCAATCCAAAACTCTATTCTCTGAGCAAGGTCTACAAGATAGATATGGACTCAACATCCATTAAGAAGTATTCCTCTTCTCTTTCTTTCTCTCTGCCTCTCCATCTCTTTATCTTCTCTCATCGGTCCAACGATCTATTTCTCGGGCACAGTCTACATGACTGATTCATCAAATACAATTCTAGTCTCATTCAAATTAATTTTTTTCGCTATCATCAAGTGCTTCTTTCATGACGATTTAAGGCTTTGTTTGAGAAGGCTTTAAAGGGAAAGTCTATTTTGTCTACATCAACAACTTTTTTTTTCTTTGAGCGTTTGGCTAAATAACTTGTATCAAGATATTTTTCTTCTGGACTTCATTTTTTACCATTTTCCGACCGCAAATATGTCGGATTTTTGTGGAAAGCCATTAATTATTTTATAAATGAAAATTCAATTGCGCCTCCAAACTTACCCTCACCTTTGTCTCCCTAGCTTTGCAAAGTAAAAAATAATTCTGTAAAATTTTTAAATAAAACTAGCTTCAAAAACATTGGTGTAATTTATAAAAAATTAAGGATATTATATTTTTTATATTAAAAATTTATAATTAATAATGTTAAGATAACTAATGATATTAAAAAGCACATACAAAATCTTATATTAAAACGGTAATATCAACATTAATTAATAGAAGTACTTTTTTTCACTATTTTTTTTTAAATTGTTTTTAAAAGAACTTTATAAAAGAAAAAGCTCAACCATATAAAGCCTATTAATTCACATTCCTAATATTAAGCTGAGTATGGCGAACTAGCATTAGGGGTGCAAACGAACCGAACCGAGCGAGCCAAGCTCAGTTCGTGTTCGTCTCGTTTATATTCCGAGCTCAAAAAATGTGTTCGTGTTTGACTCGTTTGCTTAGCGAGCCGAACGAGCGAGCCGAACACGAGCCGTTCACGAACAAAAAGTCATTTTGACAACTCTAATCACATAGTCATAAGATATTAATGATTGAGGCAAGATTTAAAAAATCTTTTAAATCTAATTTAATAAATTTTTTTCTATTTTCTTCATTAATACTTTTAATTGATTATAAATCTTTGTAGCCCTGTAGTCAATTAAATTTTTAAGAAATACTATTCATCAAAGATTTATATAGAGTATTATTTCGAGCCAAAACGAGCCGAACAAAAAATTTGTTTGTGTTGTTTGTGTTCGGCTCGTTGACTTTACACGAGCTTCTTAACAAGCCAAACACGAGTTGTTCGCGAACAACGAGCCGTTTTGACAGCCCTAACTAGCATCATCAACTAAAACAAGCTAATAAACTTCTTCTATCAGAAAATTTAAAGCCAATATTGCAAAAAGTACTTCTTCACGTAATTGGCAAGAAAAAAATTTATTTCCCTAAAACAAATACTCTGTTCGGACGTCCGGACAGCCAACCACTGACCGTCACATCGCCTGTCGATGAGTTGTATAGCGAGGTGAAGCTTGGTGATTGGGTGCCCGAATGTGCGGCGTCTGGACGGAATATTGATTCCCTTCATAAGTGGTTCAAATTAGAAAATTTATTCGAACGTCTAAAAATAACGCAAAAATATTCTAGCACGCTGTTAGAAAGAAAATAAAAATTTAAGGATCAATTTTTCTGTCGATGCTACTTCATGATTTTTGAATAATTCTTAAACGATGGGTTTATATACATATTATATTAATTTTATATATTTATATATCTAACCTCTAAAATGCTGTTTATTTATCAAACTTATAAATATTTAATATCAACTAAAAATGTCACAAATATTAATTCCTTAAAAATAAATTCTTATTTTTCATGCAAATATCTAAAATATTATATATATGTAATATGCCATATTTTATATTAGATATGTAAATATTTAAAAAGTTTGAACTAATTTAAAATGAAAGTGTTTACCTATATTCAATAAAAAGCTAAAGTCCGTCAAATAATATATAATTAGGAGCTTTTACATACATAACACATAATTTTCATATATTTACATATCTAACACTTAAATTTTAATATTTATGTTAACATTCAAATCCTCAAACTCAATATGACTTTACTAATTTTTAAAAAGCCAAGTGCATCTTCTTACGCATATGTTATCACACCAAGATGTTAAGTGTAAATATCAAACTTTAAGTATTAGAGTACATAAAAAAGGTGTGTGCATTGATTGATCCATAAGATGGGTATAATGGAGGCAGGCCCACTCCAAGGTTATCATAAGTCCCACCAAACCTAACAAACAAAGCCATACGAGCTACGTCAACTAGGCCGAAAACAACTGAACCGCCAGGCGGGCCAAAAGAGGGCTGGATGATCCAAGCACAAGCCTTCCAGTCAGAAACGAGAGAAGAGAGTGTTCGAGTCATTCAATGCAATAAAGCTCTCTTTGTGTGATAGCTTATCCCCTAGTAGAGCCAATCCGAAGAGAAATCTTGCTCCGCAAAGTATCTCAGATCATTTCGAGGAGACCCCAAAGACTCCTCACTAGGAATCGAAAATAGTCAACAAGGATGGATTTTTCGACCGAACTATACCAACAAAGTCCAACCAATTGAGTAGAAGAGATTTAGATGCCAAAATTCAGCCGGACGATAAGCCAAATAAAACACATTTGTAAAATTTCAAAAATACCCTAGAACGCCTACAGATTTGCCTAATAATTATACAATTTGCATATAAATTATATAATACTAAATGATCACAAGCAATTTCGTCCGATCAAATTTTCACCAAAATCATTGAAAGAACATTATTACTTTAAGAAGGAATCCGATAGTTTCATTGTACCTAGCTCGCATCCTGTTTAAGTCCAGTAAAACTAAGCAAAGCTTGTGGGCCAACTAGAAGAAAACCCATCAAAATCTCTTCTTGTTTGACTTCTAAACTAAACCCGTTTTAGAGGAACAACAAACATCTTCTTTATTAAGGGGCATGAACAAGTCAAATAAAGATGAGTTGGGATTTTATTCAACCCACTGGTTCAATCTTTGAATCCCCTCCTCTTCCTCATGGATGAAGTCGCTCTTGATGTTTGTCACGCAAAGGTAAATTTGTGGTGTTAAAATGATACTTTAATGTCTTAGTGTTGTACGCAGATTTGATAAACACAGATAAAAAAACTGACTGAAAATACAACATGAGCTTTAATGAGAAAAACCCAAAATAGAAAACATCATGTGGTCTAACCTAATCAAAATGATTCGACTATGCTGATATAAATTGCAAGATTTTGTTGGATATTAAAAAGCCAATAGTAATATTACAAAAGTAGGGATTACCAACCGACTTGAACTTCACTAGAAGAGCGACGAAACACGTTGAGGAATTGGCAGCAACCCAACTACTATGATGGAAGCAGATGTCGACATCACTAATGATGGTGATTGGGCAATGGCGCTACGAAGGCGGTGGTGATGACAACGACATAGCGATGACAATTTGATGATGGTGGCAGCGACCTGGTGACAATGGTGGGCCAACGATGGTGATGGTGGTGACAAGGAAATAGTGGTCCTACTGCACGCGACAGAGACAGGACAACGGTGGTTCTGCATTAGCGGTATGACGTCGATGAAGGCCACGGTGGCGGCTAGGCAACAGTAGTCTGGTGGCCTGATGACAATGGTACGATAGTGATCGAGCTTGGGAATCCTCAAGAGCTTGGAGTTCCCTTTAGCCTTCTCATCTAGGTCTATGTTCCCATTCATGAAGAGAGTGAAAGTTTATGTATAAATATTATGAGTGATATCCTCTGTAAATACTACATGATTTCAAACAACTTAATCGAAGGACTTTGAGTGATCGCTTAGATCGGATGATATTTTAAAGTATTTAGGTCTTTGAATGACATTATAATTGAGTGACATTGGGCTCATTAGATTTGTTTCATTATGATGTTTGATTTCACTAGAAACATGTATATTTATAAATCATTTGATCATCTAAAATATATCCCAAAGCTTCTTATTTTGCTTTAAGTACATGGACTGGGTTGACATGGGCTCAGATTGAATTAAGTTTGATGTCACTTGATTCATCTTACCTAGACACTTCATTTGATTTGAAGTTTATGCAATAAAATAGTTGGAGCTATTGGTCCCAATGTGCATCAAGATTCATGTTTAATTAAGATAATGTTCTTTGGGATGTATCTATATTAAAGGTATTACAAATCAATTCATGAATTTATTGTCTTATGGATTATTTGTCATTTTTCCATGCTTTGTGCTCACCAAATTTTTATTTGAGGAACAATTCTTCTATTATTTTTTCTGAAATTTCAAAGATGGAGGGTCTTTGCGTCAGCCAAATCTGCTAAAGTGTGGTGATTGAAAAAAAAAAATATATATATATATATCACGATAACTTTTTAAAAATTTGATATTTTAACTGTAAATTATACAACCACCTTCATAAAAGTTGTAGACACTCCAAGTCCTTTAATCATATGTGCCAATTCAAATCCAGCAGACTTTGGTGTTTAGATAGTTAGCTGCTTGAAGAAACAACAAGGCTAGAAGAGGCGACAAAAGTTTGAAACGGATACAAATTGGGTTTTAAAGATGAGCACTGTTTTGCTGCAATGGCCAGTTTTCAGAGAAGCAGAAAAATCAGGTAGTTAGAAAAATCGTGTGCAACTACCAACATGAATCATAGCAGAGCAGTTTAATTTTGGAGCACTTGGGATTTGTTTGAGAAGATGGTGAAGTTATCTTCTATTGGAGTGAATGTCAACACTTAAAAAACTTTTTGTTTGGTTGGGAAACAAAGTTCTTTCATAAGAACGATAAATTTTTCCCATTTAAGATCACAATTGAACTCCTCCTATTTGACGAATGAGATTTTTAAAAGAAATTTTACTTGAAATGAAACCTTACTTTAATTTTTGATTTAAAAATTAATCTTTTCAATCGCAAAAATAAGGTTCATTTATGCTTTATATTACCATTTTTTCCTGAGCCAGAGTATAGGAAGACCGTAAAACTATCATCTAAAAAGACACATTAAATATTTTTTCTATAACGCGATGAATTAATTACTACGTTAAAATTCTCATTAAATATTAAATTTAATTCATTATCGAGTTCGTGCGATCCGAACAGAATTTAATCATCTTCAACACGTAAGGATCTATTTGAGATCTATCATCCTCACAGCCTTTCATACGGTTCTGTTTAAAAACATCATGAAGAAATTCAACCTTTTGAAAAACTTCTCTGCACAAAAATTTCATAATAACACAAAAAAAATGAAGAGCCAAATAATGTTCAAATAGATGTGCAAAAAATTTGAAAAACGAAGCCATAAAAAAACCCAAAATAGATCTCCAAATATACGACCATAAATGAACCTTCAATGATTGCATTGAAACTATTCTCCCGTCATCAACCAAAGTCTTTCGATCGAGACAACCACAGAATATAAACCTAAGAAATTAATATTGCGCCCGAATCACTAACGACACATCAAACATTCATTCATATTTAGCCCGGATTACATGATGGAGCAATCATTGGGGTTCTCCTCCCTGAAGGACAGCGGTGGGCACAGCTGATAGTTACTATACCAACGGCTGTAGTACTCCCTCCTGATCGCTTCCAACGTTGCGGTGACCGCTGCCTCGGCGGCAGCCTTCACCCCATCCTGCCCTGAAGCCGCCGCTGCAACATTCTTCTTATCGCTCTTCTCCTTCTCCGAGCTCTGTTCGCTCTCCTTCTCCTTCTTTTCGGCGACAACCAGTTCGACCTTCGTATGCATCTTGCTCTCCAACTTGCCCCGAAGCTCAAAAGGATTCACCTTTCCAATCACCGTCAGCTTGCTCGCCGAGATGTCTGACGAGACGGCCTCAACGCCTGCCAGAACAAACGATGATTAGAGAGGAATAAGAGAATGTGTGGAAGAGATGGATGGAGAGAAATGCCTTTGAATTTTTTGACTTTTCGACGGACTTTCTGAACGCAATCCTCGCAATGCATCTCAAACTTAAAGACAACGCTAATGGGGCCGTCTTCCGGCCTTCTGTCCTGCAATTAGCATTGAGCAACTGTTGAGCATGGAGCGATGTAGGCGAAATAAAAGAAAGAAAACAAGTGATTTGATCCGAAAAAGAAAGATCAGGGAATTGGCATGTAATCACCATCTCCATGGGCTTGCTTCTCAGTCTCGCCATTTGGAACCTGAAGATGTGGGTAAAAAATAGAGCTCATGGGCAGTTACAGATCGTGGGTCGTTATTTGAAAATCGTGGGGCCGGCACAAAGATGAGGTACAGAAGTCAAAATGGATTGGTCAAAATTTGACATTTTTGTCCATATTTAAAAACTAACATGAATCATCACCACTTCATTTCTCGTTCATATATTTAAATATTAACAATCAATCAATCTCTGATATATATATATATATATATATATATATATATATAGCTAACATCTAAATAGACACGTGTCAGGTGGTTTACACGCATACCACCCATTTATTTTCTTAAGTAATTACATTTCTAAACACAAGGGAATTTAACTGCATACCGCCAAATTATTACATATTTACATCAATAACATCTAAATATTTTTTTTTCCATTTTCAGAAACCAAGTATTTGACATCATATCAAGGATACAAATATACTAAATTTTATATATTATTTGATTAGTTCGAGCCAAAACGAGTCGAACACAATAGAATAAAAGTTTGTTTATGTTTAGCTCGTTTGCTTAATGAACTAATAGATACGATTTGCTTATGAATGACAGGCTTTCTATTCTACCTCAAATTGTGTTCCAAAGCCTAACTTTAGGCTTTAAGTGCAAGGTCTAGGATCATATTGGCTCAAATTAGATCATTTTTTATGTTGTCTGGTTCATCTCATTAAGACACTTCACTTGATCACAAAATATAGTCACTACATTTAAAAAAAAAAAAAACGTTTTGCAACACATTTGAGTCTTTGTTGGTGTTTGCAACATACTAATTTTCTTGTAGCACTTCTAAAGCAACAACAAATACATTGTCGTTGCTTAACTCTACCAAAGAATTTCACTATACTTTTGCAAGCGGCGGGAAACGGTTTTTGTAGAGGTATACGACAAAGCTCAAAGCGCTCCTAAAACATAGAAAAAATAGTTCAAATATTTGAATGTAGCATCGGTTGTAAGATCTGTTATTATGCATATTTCTTTTTTTTTTTAAAGTCTGGACTTGATTACTTTTACACATTAAAATATCATCAGCAAATTTTCGTCACGTGGCAAGAATCTCGAGGCGAAACAAAAATCTCAAGTCATTTTTTTGCCAAGAAATATTCACACTTCAATTAAAAAACATCGAGAACTTTGATTTTACCAAACTTATAGACACTGACTGACTCGATCAGACGGACCTAATTACACTAAAATTGATCCAATTCGAGTCAAAGATGCACGAATTAAGATATTAAACCACTTTTAAAAAAATTGAGTGGTAACTTAAGGGTCAAATGGATTTCAAATACGACAAGCTTATATACAAATCATGCGTCTCGATGAGACCAATCCAACAAGCCCATAATTATTCAATTTGATATTGTTAAGACACTAAATGCCCACAAAACATCATTGTTGACATCACTTTTGGTTGAGGTCTAGAAACTTCTTCAGTAGCCTAGGTCTAGCCATAGGATTTTCCTATTGACTAGTCTTAGAAAACTAGAAAAGGTACCCTCACCATTAGAAATTCAAAACTCTTCTTTTTACTCAACTTGAAATTCCACATATTGACCTTAACCTCTAGCATTTAGTAGGTAAGATCATTATGAGAGAATTCATCATTGTTCGTGTTTGGTTCGTTTAACTAACCGAACGAAAAAAATTTGTTCACATTCATCTCATTTACTTATCGGACAAATGGAACACGAACTCATTGAAAAACCGAACACGAACTGTTCTCGAACAACGAGCACTTTTGACAGCCATAGACGCAGACTACATCCGAACTCCAGACATAATAATTTCTCCAATTTTTAGAGAACAATAACTAAGGAGATTGGTGTGAGCTATTCGGAAAGTAAGATAGATGGTTTGAAACGCTGCAGCTTTTGGCGATGGCTTTATTAATGTCGCGAATAAGTGTTGTTGCAGCAGCTATTTATTTGTAGCGCATCTTCAAGGCACAATAGAAGTTACTTTTAATATTAATTATTAATTTATTGTTAAAAATGGAATTTTTAAAAATATTGTAAGTATTAAAAAACCTTTAAAAAAACTATTAATATTAATATTTAACTTCATAAGCCAAAAAAAAAAAAAAAAAGGGGGGGCTGAATGAACA